AACGAGAAATTTCCGACGGATGTTTATAGAAGAATGACGCTTAGAATTGCATAAGGCAACTGGTAGGGCCATCAGTATTGTTGTGAGTCGGGTGTTAATACTCGCCTTGCAAGCTAGCGGACCTTGGTTCAATCCATGGGCAGGGTGAAACTATGGGCAAGTTTCTTTACGCCATTTACCTCTGTCTACCAAGCAGTAATTGGAAACCTGGATGTTAATCGATTTGCGGATCGTGTTACGGGGTAATCGTTAGCCAGTGCAGTTGGCGAGTTGTCCGATTTTCTCGGATTATTCCTTGACATGGGTCATGCAACTCGTTAACTTAGGGTGTGGTTTTTGTGTTGGCAACAGCTTCTACACCTTAAACTAATTCACGCCTAGGTGGCCCTTGGGCCGGCTATCCTCGTTAACACGAGGGGCAACCATTATAATACGGAAAAATACCACTAAATATTACTACTTACCTTTTCTAGTCCTTTGGGATGTAATTAAACCTCAGGTCTCTATTTTTGCCTTTAATCTAACAGCACACAACACACCGTTGTATTCCTCTCTGACAACTGGATTCACAGCTTTACGAGTCTTGATTCAGAGCTTCGTTCATGAAATGATTCGAATCCTTTTTGGGGGTAACTAATGTAATTTACGGGACTAACTTACCATTTATTGATACTGCTATAATGAGACTAAGATTGGGATACAAATAGTGGAGGGGTGGGTCACCCTTGACAACTGTGTCATCTTAGGGAGGTACATACACTACATTATGTCTTAGGATGTGAAAAACCCCAACGATACAGGAACAGTGAATCACTACTTTATAGACACAAGTTTGTTGAATCATTAATAATGGAAAGATTAAAATAATTATTGCAATGTATAAAGATTTCATTATCTGTTCTTTTAATATAGTAGTGTTCATGTCAAAATGAACTATTTGATTATTGTAAAAATAATTATTGTATTATAAAATTTATAACTTTTTGTAAGCCCCAGAAGGGGATGACAAATAGTTGCTTATTATCAATGAAATATTTCAATTTCAATACATTTTTTAAGACCTTGAATATGACGTCATAGGTGGGCGGATCTTAGAAACTGTGTTGAGTTATGATCATTGTGCTTGTTTGTAATGATGAAAAACACACTGCAGTGATATTTGCCATAATATACGCTTATAATTTGCATCCTATATTCCCCACATATTTATGATTCATTGTTTTTGTTTCTAATATGCCTTTGCCATGTATTCTCAGTCTGTTATATTATTTTTTTGCTAAATGGTACACTTTGTCACTCATTGTTCTATTTGCGAACATTTGAAATACAGTACAGTACTTTACATTTCCAAGTGATCTCCATTCATGCTGTTATTAATTTTTCCCTGTCTTTATATTGATCTTACGTTGTCACTCTTTTATTGCCTCCTACAGTGCATGAAAATGTGTTGAACAAAATTGGTAATAGTTCATATCATTTACTTTGCCATACTTTTAGTGGGAACCAGTTTCCCTCTGCCAGGTATATTGTACTTAACATAATGCTTCACTAGACTTACAAAACTGAATGTTATTCAACAATTCCCCATATACCCCACATTATCATCAGTATTTCCCACGTTGGTTTTCTTCCAACTCTGTCATGTGCATTTCTAAATTCAAAAATTTAAGAAAAAAATCTTCCCATCCTCCAGAAACATCACTTTGCATACATTTCATTTTGGCAGGAATTGGTGATACAAAAATGAAGAGGACAGTAAGGAAAAATGGATTGCCAAGAAAGAATGTATAGGAGAAAGATCGATAGAAATTTAAGTTGATAGTATACATACAGTAGTTTAGTAAGGAATACTGTGTATGATTTACAAAAAATAAAAATAAAATAAATTTAAGTGGGAAAATGGAAAATAGAGTGGTGTGGTTGTGTTGGTGTAAGTAGAATAAAGTGAATGAGGAATTACATGGTATATTTGACCTTTTAGATAAAGCAGATAAAGAGTGAATGGTAGTTTTACTTTTAAATTCTCCAGCCTGAACACCCATTCCCTCACACTATAGCATTCAATAGTCAGATTATCCCAGAATATCCATCTTGTTCTTTCCATTCTGTGAAGCACACAATCTTTATAACACCCCATTTCTTTCCTTTGAATCATCTGCAACTAGCCGATATTGTCAGGCACGCAACTCCATATACCACTGTAAAACACATTTTTGGAGCTCATACTCTTTTTCTTACTTTGCCTTTTTTAACTTGTCTCCATCTCACCTTTCCCTTATCCTTCAGCTTGTTTTGCACTAAACAAGGGCATTTAGGTTCCCTTTATTTATATTTTCTATTACACATATTCTAACATCCAGAGTTCATTTATTGTGTTTCTCTGTACAGTCGTAACCAAATACAATACAGCACTTGAATTTTATAAAATAAGGAAAAAGATATACTTTGGTCATATAATTAGGGACGAGGGAAAAATAGAAATTCGAATGGACAAATTTGAGGGTAGGGGGGATTAATTCAATTAAAAATGGGTCCCAAGAGATGCAAAATCTCAAGAGGCATAGAAAAAATGGCCCAAAAATGTTTAGAGTAGAGGACTGTGGTTGTCAAGCCTCAGATATGAGGATGATACATTGAGTAACCAAATACTAGAAACTGCAATTACAGTTGAGCTCCACTCCCTTAGACATGCAGGTCTTGGTCCAAACAGATAACCCATTTTCATGTCCAAAGAGTATATAGTACTGTACTAGACATAACAAATGAAAATCAATGGTGTTCATTGATTTAATTACAGCAAGATATTGTAACCAGAAATGGAAATAAAGATGTACTGATACACAGAGGGGATGGATGCATTCCCAATTATTTGATAAAACAATGAAAAAAGTAAAAATACTGTATATGGAAGCATTGTAGAGGAGTTGGTCTTAAGCAGGATTGGTCAGTCAGGTTTATGGTAGAGTTTTAATCATGTGGGAAACAAAATCCCAGAATTGCTATATAAATAGCAAATTTTCCTTTTAAGTCGTAAAACAATAGAGAGTATTGGGGAAACGTGGAAAATGCAACGACTGTATATTTGATCTGTCAAGGTTAACCATGGGAAATTAAAAGTTAAAAAATTTTTAATGTAAGGATAATGTATTTGAGGTGCCATTGATAAACAAAGTAATTTAGCTTGTGCGCTGAAGGGACATGGGTCTGCCCAAAGAATATGGACACATTGAGAATAATTATTTCTTTAGAAATTGACCCCGACAATGGAGAATATGGTGGATATGCTTCTTAATAAACCCACTCATTACCACAACTTAAATACCTTATTTTTTATACATTCTTACAGTCATTACATCTTTATTATTTGTTATGTGATAAAAATGGGAGTACTGTACAGTAGGTGGTGATGGCTTGCCGATGCAGGATGGTCCATGGTCGACGAATATCCGAGAAATGGACCGTATGCACCCACTTTTCATTTGTACTGTACAGTTTTAGTATTCTACCTGTATATCATATATAGAGTTTCAGCATTTTTTTTCCTGTAGCATATTTTCAGTAATAAAATGTGTAACTTTACTTCTATTTGTTTATAAATGTTTTGTAATATTATTATTATTAAAAGAAAGAGAAAGAGTAGAGTACCTACATAACCACTGGTAAAGCCAGTTGAGTTTATAGACCTTGATGAAAATTAAAGTACAATAGTATTTATCATTTCACCACTCATAAGTTTACTAACTGCTCAGGTGGTTGGTTTGTCTAGTGTTATTTTATGTACTGTACAGTACAGGGGGAAACCGGAGTACCCGGAGGAAACTTGTGATGTATGGTAGGGTCACACTGGATAACACACATTCCACTTGTGTCCAGAGAAATTAGGGCTCAAATCCATGACCTACTGGTGAGATATACCGGTATGTGCATTACTGCAAGTCACCAACACATACAGTACATGTATACACTAACAAAAAAAGAATGGGAAGCTCTGGCATAATATTTAAGCCATAACACAATCAAATTGATGAGAACTTTGATTTTATACAAATTTTGAAAATAGATAATATTCTCAGCATAGTATCATCAAGTTTGAGGGGTAAGGATTACAAATTAACCATCATCAATTTTCAAAATTCTTTAAGCTTTATGTATTGATGGTGTGTACAGTATTCATTTATTTCACATTTAGTGATGCTTTGTACTAATTTATTTATTATGTCTTTTGTGTTTAGTTTGGTTGCACAAGGTGTCACTTTAGCGATACACTGTACTGTATATAGTACAGTATATGTTTTTGCACTGTACACCACTTTTGCAGAATGCATTCTTTTCATAAAGTGAGGACAGCTTATATTTCTGTAAATTGATCAGCACATATTAGTATTAATAACTTAGCGATAACATCCCATCCGAGAAGAAAATATATATTTGGCAATTTGGTTATTACAAGTGCAGACTACTTTATCATTACTTCCAAAAAAATTAAATTCATCTCATTAGGTAAGCCTTACTGTGAAGGAAATGAGACAAAATTATTTAAGTACTGATGGGCTGATGGAAATTTGGTAGAATTAATACTGTACACTCCTGGAACACAAGAATGGGACAAACTGTTCAAAAATACTAAATAATAATGGGAGGGAACATATATTGTAACTCCTCATTCCATTACGTACTAAGTGATAAATACATTAATGAAAATGGGTAGGCACTAAACTCTCAATCTGGTTATGGCTTTCTGGCAATAGGTTTGTGCAGTGAAATTTGAATCAGTTTACCGAGCCCATTATAGCAAATGAAATAAACAAACCCTCCATCTTAAAATATTAAGCAGTACTTGTTTGATAAAAAACTGCCTACTTTACATTATTTAGTTTATTATATCTCATAATCACAATACTTCTCCTCATATTCAAAACTACGACGAATCTTGAAAAATTATAATTCTATTTAAACCAAGAATGCACTTGAAGGCATTGAAGGTAAAATAATACAAAGCATGGAACTCAAAATTATTCTTACTCTAAGACACATTCAGCCTTTAACAGAAGCAGATACAGTGGAATGATTACAGTGAGAGGGGCTCGGCATTAAGCCTCATCAAATAAGCTTACTAACTAGCCTGACATCAAGTTGACATAAGCTTTCATTGAATACACCTTTAACATAAAAAAAGAAAAAAAAAAAAAAAAATAATAATAATCTTATGTTGTTCTATCCTCTTTTCCTTGTTTTAGTCACATAATATATTCTAATTATAGGAAAAAACTTTCCACTGATCCTGTTCATACATCCGATGAAATGTGTTTTCTTGAATGGTTATGATCCTAAGTCAAATACTTCTTTGCAAACATTCAAATGGAGCAAAACTGAAAGCTTTATGCTATATCAAAAGACGGTAGTCTTACTCAAAAACTCAAAAACTTCAATATGAAGTCGAGATCTACATTTAGCAGGTGTGATTATGTACATATATTAATAATGCTTTCTATGCTGAAATGAAATGCTATAACATTCATCCTGACAGTCTGGGGCTTCATCTATGCTTAGAACAGAAGATCCACTATTATTAGTATGGAGAAGGGGCACAGTGTATCACCAGATTCCTCAATCCATCATAGTTTGAGGTAAAAAATAATGCTAAAGAGGTGCTGTACCGGCAGAGGAAGTTCCTTACAGGTGCTGATAATTCACTGGTAGCAACAAATCCTTAATCACCATATATGACCAGTTTTACATTATGAACTAGTTTTACATAATTTGAAACCAAAATACAGTTAACTGTTTTTTAGTTTCTTTACATCTAGATCCAATAAATGTATATATACTGTGCTTTATAAATAGCAGGTTTCAAATCGTGTTGTGGGTGACTAAGAATTTGATCCAGTCATGTGTCTAGCATGCTTTTGCTTAGTCTTAATAATTTGGTTTAATTAACAGAAATTTTGTAAAAGTAAACCAAATCTAGTCATGGATCCAGTACGTTCATCAAGTTTTACTTAACAATCATGTTCAAATTATGTGATGGATCTCTTATAAAAACATATATATTTTTTTTGAGTGTGTCTGAAAGCTAACACATTTATTCAATGTTTTCCCGTCAGGAGCCATCCTTATACAAGATGTGATAATTAGACACTTAAGTCACAATTAATCAACATCCATGGGTTCAGTAGACTTTTCAGTTGATTGCTGCTTTTGCTCGTTTGCCTTAGGACCATTAGGCTGCTCCTCTGCTGCCTTGTCTCCACCCTCTTTCTTCTCTGCAGGAGGAGGCTCTTCTACCTGTAACAAAATGATTTTTAAAGTACCAGTAAAGTTAATATGAAAAGGACTGATCAAATAATATAGGAAATATGGGACACACTAATCATCTATCCTACTTCTAACTCCAAGACTTTCAAAGCATTTTTAAACTCGGGCCACTGACAATATTAATGTTGTTTTTAAGTATGACTCAACCATTACCAATATATTAATCAAGAATAGCCCAACTTTGAATGTAAATGGAAGTGTTTATTGTATTCCATGTAGCAACTGTAATGGAAATTATGTAAGACAGACTGGGAAAGCATTGCAACTCAGAATCAAACAGCACAAGTACAATATCAGAACAGCAACTGAAAGCAGTGCACTGTTCGTTCATGTTAGGAATAATAATCATCCCATTGATTGGGAAAACAGCTTAGAAGTGTACAAATCATCATGTGTCACAGAAAGACTTCTGGTTGAAGCCTGTTTGATTAGGGAATTAAATTCTATAAACCTTAGTGACAGTCAGTACAAAATTGATAATAAGTTACACAAATTTATTTGTCAGTGGCCCAAGTTTAAAAATGCTTTGAAAGCATTGGAGTTAGAAGTAGGATAGATGATTAGTGTCCCATATTTTTTACCCGACTTAACTTGAATAGTCACGCTGCCCTTTCTCTTAAGCTCCTCTGAGTGTGTGGTGGTGTTAGCGTATGGATTAGTGGATCAATGATTATGACCTGACCTCATGTTTAGTAAGGTCACCCTGTGTACTTAAGCCTCTCTCCATCCATGTAATTCAGTTGCCTCTGAAGATGTCTTGAAAACACATCTTGAGGGATGAGTACAGACGAAGGAGAAATACATAAGGCAAATATATATACAGTAGAGGAAGGTGAGATCAAGTCCACAATAGTCAGGTTATAACTTTTTCTATTGTGGACACTAAAAGCAGTTCTAGACTGTTATGTTTCACACAAAGCCTGTTCATCGAGCTGATGGCGCCGTGAACCTCCCACTGGGAGCTGCCTGTGCCGCTTGCTTATATATATATATATATATATATATATATATATATATATATATATATATATATATATATATATTATATATATATATGTATGTATATGTATGTATTTGTATGTATATATATATATATATATATATATATATATATATATATATATATATATATATATATATATATATATATATATATATATATATATATATAATAATAATAATAATAATAATAATAATTAACGGTTTATTGAAAAGTTCTGCTCAAAGGCTGAAAATATACATTGGACATAAATGACTTATTACATACACTGGTGGTTTAAAAAAGCCTTCATTAGAGAAAGGTGAAGGAACATACAGTGAACATACAGATTATTGTAGGTGTTGAACAGCAAACACGTGTAGTGTAGTAACCTCCCAGATGGTGTTAGGAGGGACCTCACGTGGTGTAATAGTTCCCTCACAGATGGTGTTATGAGGGCTCCACGTGGTGTAGTAATTCCCACAGATGGTGTTATGCGTTACGGTGTAGTAATTCTCACAGATGGTGTTATGAGGGCCTCACGGGTGTAGTAATTCTCACAGATGGTGTTATGAGGGGCCTCACGTGGTGTAGTAATCCCCACAGATGGTATTATGAGGGCTCACGTGGTGTAGTAATTCCTCACAGATGGTGTTATGCGGCCTCACGTGGTGTAGTAACTCTACATGGTGTGTTATGAGGGGCCTCACGTGGTGTAGTAGTTCCCTCACAGATGGTGTTATGAGGGGCCTCAAGTGGTGTAGTAATTTCATTGATGGTGTTATGCAGGGCCTCACGGTGTAGTAATTCCTCACATACGGTGTTATAGAGTGAGTGGTCCCAGGCCTCCTATCGTGAGACAGATTAACACATCCCTTGGTTGTTGGGTCTCGGCTGTTATCACTGGGTACCTGGGACCTCACTGTGAAGGTTAACTTGGGTGCGACTGTTACTGTTGAGTTGTTCTCACTGACTTAAGCATTGTTCACCACTGTTCACCTCTGTTCAACACTGGTTCCATTCCTTCCTAAATGAAATAGTAACTTCTGGCGAGAACTTGTTGATATTCGTGGGGAGGAGGTTCAGGAGGGAGTTGGTATGGGCCAACTTAACAGTTGACCTGGCTGCCCGAGAGGAGCGCCAGGTACGCCTTGACCTCGGTGGTCAAGGATATATGTATGTATATATATATATATATATATATATATATATATATATATATATATATATACACACTGTATATATATTTATATATATATATATATATATATATATATATATATATATATATATATATATATATATATATATATATATATATATATATATATGCAAGTAAATCACTGTAGGTGCGGCATCTAGTATATGTGATATTGTGTGCTGTAATTACATCTTCAGGGTGAGTACCCTGAAGATGTGAATTACACAAGCTTAATGTGTTTCTTTTTTCCTTGTGGTTATCATATATATATATATATATATATATATATATATATATATATATATATATATATATATATATATATATATATATATATATATATATATATATATATATATATATATATATATATATAGTGGGGTATGCTATAACAAATCTAATTGGTTCTAGAACCTTGTTCATTATAGCATTCGTTTGTTATAGGATTAATCCGTTCCAGGCCCCCAAATACAACCACTTAACACTGAAAACTATAATATAAAATTGTAAAAATTGTAAAAAAGTGCATAAATATGCATCTAAACCCCTGAAATAAAGAATATCATTAATATTTGTAATAATAAAACAATAAATTAGAAAAAAAAAAAAATTTAAATTATGTTCGTTGTAGGAGTTTCGTTCGTTATAGCATTCTCAATTTTATAGGTAAAACCGCTCGCTATAGGAATATTCAGTAGTAGGATCCATTCGCTATAGCATAAATTCCACTGTATATGTATATATATATATATATATATATATATATATATATATATATATATATATATATATATATATATATATATATATATATATATATATACAGTACTGTATATATATACATATATATATAAATATAGCACGGCAACGAATCTACTTGTAATGGCATGTACAAACTGGACAATTTTGTAATTAAGAAGATTTGTAACCAGGTGAGAAGGTTGGGTCACCTTACCCTCTGACCTGACTACCACTGTTGCCGTGCTATTTAAAGATTAGTAGGGTCATTACCTAATACCTGACCATTGTGGACCTGGTCTCACCCTCCTCTGTATATATACACCTTGTTTTGTACTTCTCTTTAGTCTGTACTCACCCTGAAGATGTGAATTACACGAAAGCGCTTGGGAACTTCGTGTTTTCTTCTTTCCTTGTGGTTATCAGCATATACATCACTAGACTATGATATATATATGTATATATATATATATATATATATATATATATATATATATATATATATATATATATATATATATATATATATATATATATATATATATATATATATATATATATATATATATATATATGATAAAATAATAATAAAAGTAATAGACAAATTAAATACAGGTTCAAGTTATGACTGAGGGGATATGGATGTAACGAGTCTATCTACTGTGATACACGGTATTAAATTTTGATTTATTATTAGGCTCTTACAATGCATTTACTTAGGTTATTTATTCAATGATATCATCAATTTCTATGCTTTAGATAGAGGTTACACTAATTAAAGAACATGACCGACTTCTTGGTCAAACTTTCAGCCATCCTATCCAGTATCCTCATCACATTTACATGACCATACCACATAGAGATACTTGTATCCCACTTTCTGACCTTACATCACTTAGGTTTCAATGTCATTTACCTTCTCTAATCAACTACAATAATGCAAAACACACCTCAAAGAGTTTCATTTCTAGACTGAATTCTAAAACTTCCATGCACATGCTTCACCCCCAAGGAAGTTGGAAGGACTGTGTTCTTTAAACCCTTTCTTCTATCCTTTGATGCATTTTCCCCTTCCATTACCTTCTTAAAAAATCCATGTTTCCTCTCCCCTTATTACATACAGTATATTGTTATGGGAAGTACAGTATTTGTAGTAAATTCTCACAATATGTGTCTTGCTTTGAAAACAACAAGCTGTATAATGGATGAACAAATGAATTCAAATTGTTGACAAAATTGTAAAAATATCATATGGCTGACTTACCTTGGGTTTAGGTTTTGGCTTGTTCATGATGGGATTTACTAAAGCCTCAAAAGTACCCTTTTCGGAACGAACTTGTGATGCCGTTATAGGAAGATCAACATGGAGTGGGGTTGACGTAATTGTTCCCAAATTTTTATCTACCCATTCTTGCTTTTCTCCAATAGCCTTCTCCACCTAAAATAAAATAAATTTTTTTTTTATAAAAAATGAAAGTGAAGAAACAACTTAACTTATAGAAGAACAATTCACCTGCCAGGTACTGTAGTTAAATTATGGAGAGGCAAATCATCTGTAAGCCTGTTCTAGCCCAGTATTTGTTCAACTTGTTAGTCCAATCACAGCTCTGAGAACATCTTGGTGACATATGACCTAAGATGTTGTGTCACCAGGGATGTAATTACCACAATCAATCAATCTATATCCAAGGGTTTATTAAACCAACTTTTTTACATTACACATTCTAATTTAATGGCCCCCATAGACCCACAAAAATCCTATTTCTAATTAGATGAACCCTTCCCATTACCAACATCTTCCTGCGTCAATTAGTCCACTATTGAAAGATTTTACAGTATGGATTTAAACAGGATATTCATTAAGCATTACTCGACAAACTAATATATAGATTTTGATGGTGATACAATATTATGTAACATTAACATAGGAAAAAAGTTTCAGATCCTATAAACATTTAGGATCTATGGCAAAATATTGAGCATAAGTTATGGAGGGAAGCAAGCACTGGTGAGGTGAAGCCCTTCTCATACCCATAGAAGAAAATTCAAAAGAACATTAATTTGTAGTCCTGAAGGTTATTTCAAGCCAGTTTCATCATTACAGTAATCTTAAAATATAATTTGCTATATCCAGAGTACATACCTTTTCTACCTGAGCACCATCAAGGTGGTTATATTTCTCATCATCCTGACGAAACTGTTCAGTTGCTTTACGGGCCAATTGAACGGAGCTCAGTAGAGATTCAAAGGCAGCAGGAAGATCCTCACGCTCTCTTCTCCTTTCTTTGATTGGTTCACCTTGTTTCTGAGAGTATAAAATTGCCCCATTAGTGTGTGCTCTAAACAACCACTACCACGTCAAAAATATCTTTGCTTACTATATAATTCTTTCTCAATTTTAGCCTTCAACACCACCCACAGTATGCTCAAAAGGCCAAATCCTCATTTTTAATCAATAGATATCAATTCTATTATTTGATCATCTGGTACCACTCATTATTTCCAAACACAACTGTCAACCACATTGTAGCTTCTCTCCTATTATTCCAAACACCCTAGGTACATTCCATATGTTTAAGCTACTAAGACTTTAGGTCCCCTTTTGAGATCATCTGCATTACTGGAATATCCCCTTTATTCATTGCCAAGTATGATATTACCAACTTCCTTTCCTCTTTACATAATATTAGCTCTTCAAAATATCATTCATATAGAATTCCTCCAATATACCCTATCCTTTCACACCAACATAACTTGTATTCTAAAACCCCTTTCCATTTTTCCTCAAGAAACCACAAGTCATATTCTTCAGCAAATACTTCACAATCACATCTTATCTTACCCTGTTTTCTTTACCTCTACATTCCACAAAACACCAAAGAGCATCTACCCAGCCTGTTTGGGGTAATATAGGTACAGCAAACAGCATAGTAAACCTTCAGTACACAAGGATGCTATGTGGCAGGCACTGCACTCAACTTCCTCTGACTATAAGGTGAGGTGCCCATTTACAGCTGGGCGAATTACAAGTGCCTTTAATACAAACGAGTGGCCCTTATGACAAAAGACAATCCTTGTATCCACTCAACTGGTGCACCCCACCTTTGACATCTTCTCTTTGAAAACACAAAACACATCCTCCACATTTTTCTTAATATTTCCAATCTCAGTACTGTACTTCTACCCTTTTAAAGTTATTCCTCATCTCTCTTCTACCTTCTGCATTAAATACTAATATTCTGAATTGCTTCCTCCCTCCCTCACTCATTATGCTGATATGAAACTCTTTTACTGCCATCTAACAGAGGGCACTGGCAGTATTGAGGGAGGACACTATGATCAGCTTTAACCAGCCAACAGAACTTGTTTAACACAGAATAGAGTAATAATATTAAATAATATATCTTTCACTGATTTTTAACTCTTTTATACTTTGCATGCAACCAAGTACAGATGCTTACAGTTACCAAAGTATAAAGGCTAACATAATCTTCCAAGTAACTGGTCAAAATTAGTCACAACCAAACAATATAAAACATAATTCATTTCAAATACAGTACCTTTAATTCTACTAGCTTATCCAGGTACACCTGCTTCTTGCAGTCTTCTCCTTCCTCATATAGCCAATTTTCTGTATCTTCCAGCAAACGGCTTAGCTTTTCCCTGTCACCTTCACTAATATACTGCCCGAGGTCATCATAAATTCGGCTACGTACATCATAAACATACTCTTCAACAGCATTCTAAAAAAAAAAGACATGAAAACCTTTAAAATGGACCAGAACCAAAAAAAGAAGCCATCAAATATACAATACTAAACCTCCTATTTTTTTTTGCAACTTGGATATTAAATAGCATAAAAAAAGACAGATTATAGTTCAATGGTGATGATATTTAAAGAGCACACCTACTGTTTTACAACAATAAGGCAGACATAATTAAATGAAAAAATCTACATTGTTATTCACAGGGTGACCCTTCAAAAAAAAAATAATATTTATTTTTCTGCTTATCCAAAGCTTAAGGCTTGTATACCCAATTCTCTACAATCATAATTATTGATATAGGCAAGAAATTTTAAAACAGTGGCACACCACTCGGCACTGAAAGGCAAATTGTAATGTCATACCAATTTTGGGAACAGACAGTTTGGTACAGCACTGAGGATATATAACTATTCCAAAATGATTTCACATTGTACAGTCTCGTTCAAGATTCTTCGAACACTGCTGGAAACAGCTGGCAACTCAAGGCCGTTTTTTACGATACTCGTAGTACGTAGTAAAAATTATGAATAAATGTAAAGTGATCAGTGATTGGTTACGTAGTTCTCCGTTGCTTAATTTAATGATTGGGCTTTGTTGTTTCGTATTATATTATACTACATACTATAGTAAACAAACGGCCTCGAGTTGCCAGCTGTCTCCAGCAGTGTTTGAAGAATCTTAAACGAGACTGTATTTGTATAATCTTTCACACACCTCTACATCAACATACCTTAATAATCTCACCCAGGTAATACTCTGTCATTTTACCTTACTTTTTGTCTTCCTGATAATCTATTCCCACTCAATTCACTTGGAACTACGTTTCTCTCTTCCCATCCATTCCTAATTCATGACCTTATAATCTAAACTACCAAAGTACTGTATTCATATAGTGGCAGAGAACTGATAAATGATGCATCTTTAGCCCTTAAAGAGCAGCAGACATCGTATGATGTTTAGTTTTTCACACCATTGTTTGGATGCACTGATTACCACGACATCACTAGCGGCTCGCTCCAGACACCACCCACCCACCTCCCCAGCCAGGCAAGGTGTGGCTACATGTTATGATATTCATTCAGTGCTCTTCTAGATGCGCTGGGAGATACACATACTCCTGACATTGTCCACTATTACACAGACATGATACAAAATGGGAAGACGGGCATACAAACTTCAACACATGCTTTACCCCCAAAATAAAAATTATTTTGGGGGGTTGCCGAGTACAATTTGAAGAACACGAATTTTGCGTTCCCATAAAAAAAAAAAAAACATCACCTAGCATAGGAATATTTATACGTGAATTTGAACCACAATAACTTACGTGGTAAGCACCATGCGTCGCCAAGCAATTTTCTACAATCATTTAGCCTGGTGTTTGTTTTATTACAATAAATGTTATCTGACCTTGTCCTTCGTGCTTTGAACTTCCCTCTAAGCCTACAAACAAAAGCATTAGATATCTAACAAGTACCAGAAAAACATGTACTCCCAATTCAACTCATGATTTCTCCAAGAAATTATTATTTCTCATATTTATTGTCCAAATATGAATTTGGAGAAAAACGATTCATCTTTCTAATGGAAAAATCGGGCACATTCTACATGTTTTTGAACATTACCTTACACGATTTACTCCATTTTCTATATATCAAAATATACCCAGTCCTGGGCAGACAGTGCACGAAAACATCAATCAATCAGAGTACTGTCCTCATATCCGAGGGTTGGTAGCCACAGTCCCCAACTCGAAAAGTTCTCGGGCTGCTTTTTCCAACCCTCAAAGTTTTTGTATCTCTCTGGGGAACCAGTTTTTAATTTCATTCATCCATCCCAGTCTCTGCCTTCCCTTGGTCCTCCTACCCTCAAATTTTGCCAATTAATATTTCTAGGGCTATAGAGCATATGAGATGAGAAATAATTATTGAAAACTAACCTTGAAATATTTAGTGCAACTGTTATGCTGTTAGATCAATATTTTAGTGTGCTTGCTTAAAAAAAATTATACATTCAGAAATACCTCTTACAATATTTGCATTATTACAATAATTCCCATATATTGCACTAATGTACAGTACAGGTGCAAATTTTTTCTATCTATTCCTGTTATATTTACTTGCCATTGGTCATAAATAGCAATTTCAGTGTCCAAATCTCGATATTGATCTGTACAAGAAACCCTTATTGTTATACATACCAAGGACATCTGACTAAGAGAAATAAGCTTTTCCTCCAACCAGAGGTTTCATTGTAAGTCAAGTTATAGCTGACTTGGAGAATCAACAGAATTAAAAATCTGAAAGACTATGAACAAGTCTTTAAACTTACACAATACTTCTGTAACCTTACCTTGGCATTGATGCGTTCATTCTCTAGCTTGTCAGCTTGAACCATCTGAGATTCACGTTCTACCAGGGAATTCAGCTCAGCAGGGCCATGGGACTTAACTACTTCCTTAATTGGCAGTTCTACAGTTTTCAACATCTTTTTTCCCTTCTTTTCACCACCTTCATTCTGCCCAGGAGTAAAAGATATCAGCATTTGAAAATTCACTAGGTAACAAGTGTAATTTTTATATACAGTATACAAAATCTTCACTCAAAAATTTCTTAAGAATATTCATCTAATTACCTACATAAAAAAATTTGTAAATAGCAGTATTACATGATACCTGTATATCAATATAAAACAAAATGAAGTGTCTTACAAATATTTTTCTGTTCTAGAGTGTGATCATATTTCATTGAAGGAAAACACTAGCCCATTGAGTGGAAACATTAAACCAACATAGTGCAATGGGGGCATCAAGTGGGAAAAATTTATTTACCCACTTCAAATAATACGACTTTTGTATGATCTCCAAAAGACCGATTTTTTTTACACCATATGGTTCTACCTAGTAATGAGTAACTTCACAAAATCAACCTACATTTCTAGAAAATAAATAAATAAACAAACAAATAAATAAATAAATAAAATTCAAATTCTGTAAACTTGAATAGCCCCATAAATTTCAGTCTCACATACTTATACTCTGCACAGCAACCTCCAGCTGTGTGCAAATTGTGACATGATAATTATCAGGGTGCCAGACATTCACATTCAGGTGCGACTCCACTGAATATACTCTTGTCAACCCTGGATGACACTATTTTGCTGTTTATGAGACAGAGAATAGGATAAGAATAATTACTATGAAAGATTGAGTTACCTTGGCTGGTGGTGGGGCTTCTGTTGTTTTCTCAGTCTCCATTTTCTAGTCAAAGAACAATTTACATCCATGAGCATTTACAAAAGTAGCACACTAGCATAAAAAAAATATACATAGCTAAAAATCAATACAGTAACTAAAAATGAGAAGAGGGCAATCTTCAAACTTGCTCTACATTCTCTTTATTTGGCCTAAAATACTGTACAGTATTGGAAAGACCTGTACAGTCTATAAAATCTTAAAGTTTACTTAAGTGTTGCAAGATGACTTCCTGAGCATACAAAGGATGATCACACTCCCATATAAGGAAACTATTACATTATTATTTTTTACTCCACTTATATTCTCCTGAGAAGTTCTCCACATGAATGCTAAATAACAAACTTTTATACCATTTTTAAAAGCAGCAAAATACTTGCAGCTTAATGATCGAGATTGTCTGCACATTCTAAGACATAGTTGAACTTGAGGAACAACTCCAGAGTAAAAAGTCTTTCAAAATTACACCCATACATTTCATGCCATCTGTAAATAATGTAATGCAATGCAAATATATTTATGATGTGCAAAACAGCTTTCCTAATATCTAACTTCAGTGACATCACCAGAGAAAACATGCTGATAAACTATCCAAATTCTCCAACTGTTCAGAGATAATCACCATTCATTCACCTAAATTTAGGACTTCATAGTCATAATCATCTCTATATTATGGTGATTTTCCAAACTTGAGTGGGTTAGCCAAGATTACCAGACGGCATGCTGCTAGTAGTCCCCTGCAGCTACTCGACGTCAAGTTATCAACAAAGTTATTTTACAACTTCCACTTCCCTCCACATTCAAACTTGCCCATCTCTTAGCCCAATTGGTTTACACTAATCTCTCCACATGCCACTCTGTTTACCTCTATGTAAAACTTCACCAATTCTATCAATACCCAGCAGCCCTCTTAGCTTTGAACAAGGTTACCTTTCTTTATATGTCCCTTTATATATACAGCACATATCACCATTCTCATTTCATCTCACACATGCCTTGCTATTCATTGGGCTACATTCCTGAAAATTCCCAAGAACCACAAATTCAGGAAATACAAACTTAGGGTTAATGGGAAATACGGTTGGGTACTACAATTTTAAAAATTTTCACTTTTTTTTTGTTTGGCCAAGCTTTACCATGAACCCAGTCATAGGCTGGTGTGACAGGCTGTATCACTAAGACCAAGTAAATTCCAAGAACCACTCCCACTGGCTCATCTCGAGCACAACCAGAAACCTCGCATAAATAAAATGTCTCTGCAGTTTTATTAAACCAAAAAGTCCAATGTAATATTAGGGTTGATAAACTGCTGTAATGCTGTAGATAAAACGTTAAAATAAATTTTGGCATTTTTACTTTCTCTCACCTACTAACACCACTGCTTATTGTCACACACAAGTGTTGCTGGTTTAGTTGTGTTTATATACTTTAAAACATTTTTACAGCAAATATGATGAGCTAGAATGAATGCTCCATTGCCAATTTAAAAAAAAAGAACAGAACATAAAATTTTATCATACCACCAAAAAATAACTCCTTATGAAGCATATGCAAAAAACATTCAAGAGATGTAACATAAGCTGTTAACATGGAACACACCATCAGTGCCTTGCCTGCATGAGGAGATCAAGCAAATTTGGATAATGGAAATGGGTTGTAATTATTTCCAAACATTTGCTGAATCTATGCCAAATTGTCTTCAACCAATGTTAAAGTAAATGGTAAACATGACAAAATATTAATTATTACAATACATGTATATAAAGGTTTATGTGTGTTTTATTGTGTTTCTGTTATCCTTACATTTACTGTATGTTAAAAGTCATGGAAAAAGGTTACAGGGATTAATATTTTCTGTACCAGTGAAAATGTTTTCTTTATTCACATTCCTGGTGTACTCACTTTTTTTTTTTGCTGGTAAGTGTTACTTTTTTACATTTAGTAATTACATGCACACACACATATGGGTCGATAGATTTTCAATTGTTGTATTTTTGTAGAAGGGGGGGGGGGGGTGCTTCCATAAATAGGAAAATTTGTGATAATTTGGCAAGACCAGAGCCCCAAGTGCCGAGTTATCGGGGGTTTACTGTACTTTGTTTGCAATCCACAAACCTTGTCTCATTAATTTCACCGGGAGGGCAAATCCACAAAGGGGTAAAACATGAATAGCAAGGCCCTGCTGTACAACCATCATTGAGTTTCTTTACAATCAGTCTCACCTACTCACAAATTATTCTTTCCTCTTTTGTTTTAATACTTGTACTAATCAATCAGCCTTACCCTGTCAAAGATAATTTTCCCTTATCTCCCTTTTACTTCAGATTTTATTCACTGCAATATATCCCTTTCATCATTCTCTTTGTCATTTCACTCTATTTAGTTTGTTCCAGGTGAGCTTGTTCTCTTTAAAAACTTAGGACAACATTTCACCCCTATCTTGCTTCGCCAACCCCTTTGCATTCTTTCACCATTCTCTTTACTTTCTTATTATCTCCCTCTATCGCTCCCTTCTTGCTTGAAACTGGTACTCACGTGCCCTTATCTTCTCCCTAATAAGAACTGCCAGTCTCTCGTACCACCATTCCCTCTTCTTGTTTTCCTTCCTATTTTTTTTCACCCAAACACAACAACTTGCCTGAAATCATTTCTTTTAAATCTTTGTATTCCATTCTCTCTCCTTAGCTCTTTGCTTTTCAAATTTTTGTCTCACGATCTCATTTATCTTCACCCTTCCATTCACTATTAATTTTACTGCTACAAAATGGGTATACACTCAATGTGCCATTCTACATTGTCAAACTACATTGATCTACTTATATTTCATTCTTCTATCTACCAACCTACAAGTCTACCTTCTCTCTATACAGTATACTCCATTGTCCAACCTCAGAGTGGACTGGACCTGGCAGTACAAAAACATGGGACCTCTTACCTCCTGCTGGTTTCCCTCTTCAGCAGCAGGAGATTGGTTACCACCTCCACTTTCCTGGTTGTTTGCAGTTCCATCAGTTGTCTGTTAATGTATTTATATGTATTTATTTTGTTCATAGCAAAATACTAGAAATTTTTGTGTGTTAAACTTCACTTAATAAAACTGAGATATAATAACCCCACTTACCTTGTCATGCTTATCCTCTGTTTCCATATTTTCTTGGGATTCCTCAACAGCCTCCTTCTTTTCTGTCAGGGAAGCTGAAGCTACAGTGAACAGTCCATGTAGATTCACTCGCACTTTCACTTTTACCTGCCAACATCAGACAATGTAATTACTGTAAAGAAAACCCAACATCTCCAGTGTAACTTACACATAACTTTCCAGTCATAATTATGTGTAATAAATTTCAAATTAATCTATTGCATACTTCAGGAAATCATTATATGGTGTATACAGTTAATCCTCACATTACGCGGTCCCGCATTCCGCGTTTCACCGTTACCGCGGTGCCTTGCCAGAACCCAACATGCTCACATTCCGCGGTCGTGAACGCCATTACGCGGAGTGTGTCCGGCGCAACGCTATTTTTAGATTTGCCCCACGCGCCACCCACCCGCCCGCCTGCCTGCCTCTCCCTCCTCCTCCCTCCGCTTGGGCAAGCGGCGCGGTAAGGTTGCGCAGTGTGTGTCTTTGTTGCGTTATCAGTGACGTCATATGACGTATCAGACCTGTGATTGGCCATGCATCCCTACCCCCCTCTGCTGCTAGCTGTAATTGGCTTAAAGTATTATGACGTGTCCACCCGGGGGAGGGAGGGAGGGAGGGAGGGAGGAGAGATGACACTTGAACTAGCCGCGGCAGTTTCATCCCTCCAGGCCACTCCGTGTAAACGCGCATCCATTGTTCCGTAAAATGGCTTCCGCCGGACCACCACCCCCAGAGAAAAACCTTTCCTTACCTGGACCCAGCGGCACTAAACCAAAGAAGACACGACGTTCCTTAAGCTACGAGGTGAAGTATACCATCATCCAAGAGTTGGAGAAAGGAACAAGGCAGGTTGATTTGGCGCGCCAGCATGGCGTGAACGAATCTACGATCCGGACTATAAAGAAGGATTCAGCCAAGATAAAGGAGCACATGAAGATCACAAAGTCTACAGGTGCTTCTATGATCAAGTATTTTCACAACCAGGTGCTTCTCAAGACAGAAAAATTACTTGTGAGGTACTTGGTGCGTCAGGCGCGACGGAACATGGCGGTCGACACGCGCTCTGTGAAGGACTACGCACGTGAACTGTACATGGCAGTGGCACGAAAGATGGGAACTTCAGAGCCCAAACCCTTTACTGCTTCCTCTGGGTGGTTACAGAGGTTTAAGATCCGGAACAAGATCACCAATATAAACATTGGTGGTGAAGAAGCGAGTGCTGATCGTGCTGCGGCTCGGGAATTTCCTCCGTTTTTACGTGAGATTATGGAGGAAGGACAGTACAGTGACGACCAGGTGTTTAACATGGACGAATCTGGTCTTTTCTGGAAAAAACTACCTTCCAAGTCCTTCGTTGTGAAGAATGCCAGCAGGATTCGGGGCCGGAAAATGCAGAAGGAACGCATCACCGTCCTGTTTACCACCAATGCCTCCGGTACCTGTAAGCTCAAGTTATCGGTGATCCACACAGCCCGCAAGCCGCACGCCTACAAGAGCATGGACATGACCAAGCTAAATGTCCACTGGCTGACAGCACGTAAGGCATGGATGTTCTCTACACTGTCCCTCTCCTGGTTTGATGACTGTTTTGTTCCTGATGTAAAGAAATTCTGTGAGCAACAGTATGTCCCATTTAATATTTTGTTGCTGCTGGACAACGCACCAGGACACTCGCCCCTACTGTTAGATCGTCACCCCAACGTAAAAGTGGTCTTCCTTCCTCCCAACACTACGTCTTTAATCCAGCCCATGGACCAGGAGTTGATTTGCAATGTGAAAGCTGCATTCTCAACAAAAAAATTCCAGCTCCTGAACGACTACACCAACACCAGGGAAGAGTTGCGTGACCTGAGTGACACCACCACCGATAGCAAGAGCGACGAAGATGAGGAACAACGGTTAGAACAGCAAAAAATACTCTTCAAACAATTCTGGAGAATATTTAACATCAAGAAAGCTGTGGACATCTTGGTGGAGTCATGGGATCAGCTGTCTATTGCTACAATTCGTCACGCATGGAGACATGTGTTGCATGGAATACCAGGTGAGAGGAGGAGTCAATCTGTGACTGGTGAGGTTCAGAATGTTGCAGTAGCAGTGGACCTTGCCAGAGAAGCTGCGCAGACTGTTACAGTTCCAGGCTTCTCCGAGACCACCAACGACGACATCCTGGAGGTGATCAGAAATCCTGAAGTGACTGCCGACGAGATGTTGGAAGAAGAACACGTCAGTGAAGAGGAGGAAGAAGGTGCGGCAGTCTCCGAAGAACACAATTTAAGTCATAGTGATATTAAGGGTGCCATGGAGTGTGCAGAGAAGATGAAGTCCTTCCTTTCCCGCGACAATGACGATGACCGCTATGAAGTCTTCCATAACCGGCTGGTGCAGGCTATGGAGCCGTACATCAAGGTGTATCACGACAACATCAACGCCAGCCGTCAGCAAAGCATAACAGATTTCTTCACCCGCAACCCACCACAGCCAGCCCAAGCCAGTGATAGTGACAGTGAAGTTGACTTTGAGGGATTTGTCAGGGAAGCCCTGACAACTGTAAGTGACAGTGATGATGATTCACCTAGTAATGGTGATTCACCTGAGGGCCAGTAATCTGCCCTCTGCCTCGGAACCAGCCTCCATCCCCGTATGCCGACCCATCTCTTCTACTACCGTAAGTGTTCCACCTAACTTTTAGTTTCTCTAAGGTAACCTTCATTTTTCCTATGTTAACCTTTATCTTTCCTAACCTAACCTCTTCTATATTACTTGTTTTTTCATACCATCATAAAGTTAAGATAAAATTTTTACTGCAACATAGTTATGTGTCGTCAAAAAGTGGAGTTTGGGGATCGGCCTGGACTCCATTTCAATTAATCCCATATGTTATGTTGTTCACTTTACGCGTTCCTCACTTTCCGCGGGACCCTCCGGGTTACATTAACCGCGTAATGTGAGACCCAACTGTACAGTACACTGACAGGCTGATGTATGGTGCCTTGCCATGCAGTACTGTATACAGTACATGGGGTCCTCATTATACACTGGGAATGTGTTCCAGAGAAAAGACTTATAATGAAACATTTTATAATGAGGAATTTTCCCAATAAGAATTAATGTAATTACGGGTATAGGCATTCCAACATGTAATGATACCCCACGAAATCTCAGCAAATCACCAAACCAAGGGGTCATTATAACATACTGTACAGTATATGATATGGAGATATATTCCTAACAACTTTATTTGTTACCTTTGAGAGATACATAATGGCCCAACTTTGCTATTTGAGCACTAACTGATTAAAGTATAAATAGAAAACAATATTATTTATTAGGTGCTGATAAATAGACTACAATATTTATTAATAAATGTTGAAGGCAGTTGCTGTGGTAAGCACCAACCATCTTGAGAAATGACAGCAGAGATGTACAAGATAAGGAGAGCATTGGCAATACTGCTCGGAGGAAGGCTGATGAGGTCAGTTGGTCGGTTTTATAAACAAGCACCAGGAATTTAATAAAAAATAACTCCTCTGGGGTTGATTGTTGGATTTTTTTTTGTCAGCAAAACTAATTACTGTATTTTATGATAATATTTTATTAACCCGACACCAAATGAACAAAGTTATTTGAGAATTATGGTGTTGCACTGCCGTATTAACGAGGTCGAGTTGTCCAACTACCCACCCACCCTATGTCCCACCTATCTCACACGATTCACTTTCCACTACAGGTATTTAATTTTCTTATTCTATAGTTTATATTCTTTTTTCCTAATTTAATTTAGAGCATCGAAATTTCCATAACTTTTATGGTTTCTTAGGTAACAATGACATGTGCACTCTTTTCACAGCTAACAAGCACACATGTGTTTTGGTGATTTCTAGAATCAATATTCTCCCACACACATTTTACCCCTAAACTATTTTTTATCTTAAATCTTTTTACTACTACACAGAATACAGTATTTTCTTTATTCAGAAGGCACACTAACACATTGAAATGAATTTTCTGCAAATTGTGTGGTTATGTAACATATAACAATGGCATTATTGCTCAGTTGGTGAGAAGTGACCAATGTATTTTGACGTGGTAGAAACTTAGCACTTGTAAGGCAATTTTATTGCTTGTTAGGGTGATTTTTACATTAAAAGTGCTTTTAACACTATTTATGCATCATATTTGGGTACACACAGATTTGGTGTAAAACAGTGGATGATTCAGATGATGTGTGTGTGAAACAATTGACGTATAATTAAAAAAATCCTCTATTTGTTGGCAATGTACAAGTGAAATGACATACTGTATACAGTTACCAGTAAAACGTACAGTGAAGACCCCATGAATATGAATTTTCAAAATATAGTAACATAATTAAGGCATCATCATCACAGTACCAGGGTATTATGAATGACTGGATGGTCATTGCACAAATCAAAATCACAAATACTTTACTTATGAAAAAATCAACCATAGCAGACTTCTCATGTAACTTCATATATGATACATAACAATTACCTTTTGACACTCTCCTTCTGGTCCTGGAGCAACATTTTCAACTGTATAATGTCCAATTATGGGGTCTGGGAAGGTTGATGGGACAGTGTACTGTGCTTGTAGCGTAAATGGCTCACGGCGGTAGAACGTTAGCATCTTTGAGAATGGTACCTAGAAAAACAATAGAAAATGAACTATTAAAACACAAGAATCTTACATTAGATCTAAAATTTGTATGTCTAATGCAAATTTTATGATGTTTATATTTAAAATAATCACAATCTTATAAGAATTCCAGCAATGTAAATTATATTCTGGCCAGGTAATTTGTATTAATTTTATGAGCTAAAACAAATATCTTCAGTAAATAAACAAATTATACTTCACCCAGACACTATCTGTCAATCAAAATACCCCACCTCCGCTGGGTCCCTCCCTCCCTCCCTAACCCCCCACCTTCCCTCCCTACCAGAGAAATGTTTGGGTGAAAACAGTAGGCTTACATTTTTAGAAATAAATAATACCCCAGACTAAAGTTTGGATAATATAATTGATATTGCTGGATTCCTAGCAAGACCAGGAATATTTTGAATATAAACGTCATATATTTGGCACAAAAGATATAATTTTTTTCTTTCTAATCAAAATTCTTACATGAGATCTAAAATTTGTATATCTAATGCAAATTTTATGATGTTTATATTTAAAATAATCACATCTTATAAGAATTCCAGCAATGTAAATTATATTCTGGCCAGGTAATTTGTATTAATTTTATGAGCTAAAACAAATATCTTCAGTAAATAAACAAATTATACTTCACCCAGACACTATCTGTCAATCAAAATACCCCACCTCCGCTGGGTCCCTCCCTCCCTCCCTAACCCCCCACCTTCCCTCCCTACCAGAGAAATGTTTGGGTGAAAACAGTAGGCTTACATTTTTAGTAATAAATAATACCCCAGACTAAAGTTTGGATAATATAATTGATATTGCTGGATTCCTAGCAAGACCAGGAATATTTTGAATATAAACGTCATATATTTGGCACAAAAGATATAATTTTTTTCTTTCTAATCAAAATTCTTACATTAGATCTAAAATTTGTATATCTAATGCAAATTTTATGATGTTTATATTTAAAATAATCACAATCTTATAAGAATTCCAGCAATGTAAATTATATTCTGGCCAGGTAATTTGTATGAATTTTATGAGCAAAAACAAATATCTTCAGTAAATACAGTAAACAAATTATACTTCACCCGCGTAAATGACCAAATTTACTGCGTAATTAAAGCATTTCATTCGGGAAGGCACCGCGTAAATGACCAAACGCGTAAACAAAAGCAGCGTAAATGCAGACTCCACTGTATATATATATTTTCCCTATTATTGAAAATGTTTTAATATTTACGATGAATCATACACTATAAGAGGCTGATCAGACCCCCCCCCCCCTCCTTCCCACTTGGGCACATACATAGTATCTACCCTCTCATAGTCCATGGCTCTCATTAGGCATCCAGCAATTCAAATTACACCAACAAAAAATAGGCTAAATGTTTTTGATTCAGGCAGTGTTGAGATAATTAACATCCCTTTAACCTTGCACCCTATTTTTTTCAACTGTCAGCATAATAAACATACAAAGGGGGTTATCAGTGGTGTAAATATACAGTATTTATCTTTTACTCAAATAGGTGTATCAACTGAAATTTTAGAGCAATGCAAAGCTTACCTGATGATTCTTGGGGAAGACTTCCATATCTGCTTCCTGACCTGATTCATCCTGCCAGACAAGACGAATGCTGTATGGCTGCACATCAGTTACTGAAAATTCGCGTACCTAAAAATAAAAACACAGTAATAACAGATATATTACCACTGAACTAAAGGTTTTAGGTACAGATGTGAATGTTGTTGAAACTGCCATGGGTAATAGAGTAGCTCCTTCTTTACTTCAGTCATATTCTGTACAATCATCTGCAGTTAAGTGCAAGTTGAACCTCTCAATCCAGCACCCTCGGGACCAGACCATATAATTTTCCAAACCACGAGTGGTCAATATTATTACAGTACCAAAACACCTACCATATACTGCATAAGCCTACCTCATGGCAAATAATCCTAAATTATTCATAAACAAACTCATTACTCATCACATGCAAAATAATATATTTTTTTAATTAAGTAATTATTAACCATAGTAAAAGAATTTGTGGATGGAACCATGAAGAGTATGGTGTGGGCGTGGGGAGACACCTTGTGGGCACATACCTAGAGATCTCATGAGGTGAGGTGATGTTTTGATCTTGTGCCCATTAACACCTTGACCACCCACCTCACCGAGCCTATCCTCTTATCCCCCCCTCCCCCATCAATTCCCCTCTTCTCCCCTACCTTTCCTTCAGAGGCTTGGTCTTCCCATAAGACGATAGTTGCTCTTTGCATGTACCTATACCTAAAATGAATTTCAAAGAAGCTGTGATTCTAAAATGCTTTACATAATTCCATGTTAGATATAAAGCCTGCATGTGTAAGACTGAGTGCATTTAAAATTCTGCTTAAGTAACTAAATACAGTACCACCGCCTGCCCCCTCCTTCATTTGCATCAGGTATTTGTAAATTTAAAGTGGTTTATATGTATAGTGAATGAGGTTCTGTTCATCATGTAGTAACATAAAGAAAGAATCTAGGGGTACAGTAAGCAGGCCCAGGATAAAGAAACTTACTGGTAAGATTCGCCTACCGTGAACATATACTGTATCGGGTAGCTATTGTTCCCCATAAATAACAAATGGAAATGCATGAATTTTAACCCCTCAAAATATTCCATAAAAAATCAAAATATATTAAGAGTATATGAGGCACTCAGCATTAGAAGCAGGTGAAGCGACACCCCGGCCAAAATGCGTTTTTTTTCTGGATATCACTATTTTCACCCTTCCTCTACATGTTGGCGTTGGATGTAACCCTCTAGCTAGAAAAAAATATGGTATAACATCTTTCAAAAATAAAGTGTGATTTCACCTCGAGCCTGGAGTTACGTATCTGGCTGTGCACTCAGTCAAAGAAGGTGGCAACATCCCGTTCAGAGCACAAGCCAATGACAGTGTGCCTCCCTCAGATCATACCCACTGTGGCAGCCAATCACAATGGATTTCCCCTTGCTACGTCACAGTTCCTCAGCCAATCCACGCGCCCAGATGCTGCCTCCTTGTTAGTTTTGGCGCGTTGTATAACATAAGGAGGTTCAGTGTACTTTCAACTGCTATTTTTGATAACTTTCAGCGTAACATTGACGTTATTCGTGTACCACGGGTGTGAGAAGTACTATGCAATATCTTTCCGATTAGAGCAAAACTCGAGTGAGGTCAGGCCTTCTGGTGTTGGTTCAGAAGCCTATTATTCCTGAGTGTGTGCTTAGTGACAACAGTGCTCAACCCAAGAATGCTTGGTGACAGGGATTTTGGTATACCATACTCATAATACAAAAAGTGACTGCTATGCATCACAAGACCTTTTTGTAGATTATGTTCCGGTACAGTTACAGTATGTGACATGCACTGACGGCAATAATGACGATGAAGGTGAAGATGAAAATGATGAAAGCGAGTCTAAAGGGAACACAAACAGACACACTAATGTATCACAAGAATATACAGACTGTGAGGAGGTAGAAGTGGAGTGACGAGACATGCATTGACCTTGATAGTGATGAAAGTGACCCTGACCCAAAGAATGCTAGTGAAAGTGAGCCCATAACTCAGTCTTATAATGAAACTGAACTGTTGCCGGCATCAATAATCAATGATTTAGTTGATGAAGAATCTGTGTGGTGATTTTTAGAGTGCAGTGAAAGACTTTGATCAGTACGTGATTGATTATGACAAGGCCATTGAAGTTATACGCACTCATCAGGATTTACATAACTACAAGTTGCTACGATCTTCAGGGATAATAAAATGAAGGAACTAAAAAAATAAGATTGTAATACTATTATCATAATACTGTTTTTACCAAATATTATGCAAACTTTCTCTGCCTTTGTATTCGTATGTTAATTACATTGGAGGGGAGGGGAAGGGAAGGGAGGAGGAGGTTAATGGTGGGGGATGAGTGTGGTGGTGTTTCCTTATTATTTATTATTACACACCTTAATATTATAAATCTTTGGCTAATAATAGGGCAGAAAGATAAATACTGATAGGCAAATGAGTTTATTATTATTTCATTTTTAAGACGGTGCTGTTTTTAGCGATCATTAACTTGTTTTACAGTATTAGCTCACAATAATAAGACAATTTTGCAGAAAATGCAATTATTGTTGGTTTGAAGATCAACACCTGTACATCACAAGTAGTTATTCTCATTCAACTCGTGATAAAATAATAACTATTCACAGTACTAACTTCCAGTTTTCACAGTTTGCTAGGAGAGGGATTGAGTTGCAATATAATTAAAAAATACTCTCTAGCTTAAAAAACAAAAAAGTTATGGTTGTTTGAACTTCGAAAAACTTTATACGCTTTTTCCCCAGCTTTTTTTAATTTGGCGCTTCACCCCCTTCTAATGCGGAGAGCCTTCCATAGCCTTTGGTAAATAAGCTGTCATAATATAATGTATTAGTGTTGTTACACAATTTTAAGGTTTTGGCACTGGGAAACAGGTTCAGAAGCATAAATAAGGGACTACATATGACAAGAATAACATATGCTGGACTGTGGACCAGGGAAGTCCGACCCATATAATCAAGTCACTGTTTGTAACTAGGCATTAAAGAGTTAAGAGTATAGTACTCACCTTAAATGCTGGAGAAAGTATGGCACACTGGAGAGCACAACCTCTTGCAACAGCTTCATCTTGGTTAAGAGTTGTAGATGGTATCTTATTAAACACCTTTTCAATCAGTTGTTTGATTGCTGGAATACGAGTAGATCCACCAACAATCTCAACACTGGCAATATCATCAAGCTTGAGTGAGCAGTCTGAGAGGCACTGCTGAAGTGTAGACTCAACACGCTTCAAAAGAGGAGCAGACATTTCTTCCAAGCTCACTCTAAAAAAAACATAGTAATTAGTAAACTGTAAATAACACTATTATTTGCTAATGTTAGCTCACTGTGTCAACTGATAAGAGTATTGTCATCCAAAATTTAAAATAATGTTCAATCTTCACAGCCAAGATGATATGAAAATAGGAGATTCTTTAAAAGTTTACCATTAGAAACAGTGTTTGAGACTTCACACTAAGCAGTAAACACTGAGAACCTATCATTCCCTTATAAAAGAAAGACTGCACTACACAATGTCAAATTATGTGTTTTACCAAAACAATTCCAAGAATCAAAGACAAGAACGAACAAACTTTCCACCTTCATTCATAATACTGCAAGAGATGTGCTCTGCTATGCTGCTACTCCAACAATGCCCCAAATCTGGTGTATCCCTATTGCTTCACACAGCCCAGCATCACATTCTTCCCAAAAATTCATTTGTTGCCATATTCTCTCATCATTCATGCAAAACCCATTTTTAGATGCCTATTCCCTTTCACTTCTAATGCATACCTTGATTTCCTTGTCTTCTCCTTTCTCCTACCATACACTCATGAGTGATACAATCTTGGTTACCAATCTTTAATTTCCAATCTCTAACTTAAATTTGCATACTGACTGTTACGAGTGAGCGTTCCATCGTTGGTTGTGGATTCGCAACGTGAACGTCTTTTGTTTGTGACGTCATTTCTGCCACATCCGCTCGCTTTGTTTACTTTAGTATGGGCCCGGCAATGTTAAGTTAAGTACAGAGTATCTCCTTTCTTATTGTACAGTATGTTTCTAGTGGTATAACGTGTAAACCTTGCTCGACTTTTATAACACCAAGTAAAGTATTATTTGTGAAAGATTATTGTTAACCATATTTTGGAGTTCCACGGAAAATAACTTACTTATTTATGAGGCTTCGTGTGGTGCATAGACCACGTTGTTCATCGTAGTTTCTAGACTAAATAAGTCTTTACTTTTGTGTTCATTATTTTGTCACTCTTTTGAGTCATTTATTTGATCAGATTGAATTTGTATTTATTTATTTTTGTACATACGGTTATACTTATTGTTTGTTCATTTGTTAATATATTCTCTTATTAAACTACTGCATGTATTTCAATATACCCCAAAGTAATGAGGTGATAATTTGGTGGGATCTATTCCTGGACCTACAGTACAAAGTGTAATTTGTGAATTTGTGATATTGTTACACCCTTAAGAGGCCCAAGGGTCGTAACACTGACCAACATTTCTTCTTCTCTGCATCTTATTTACACCTCATAATGCACTCAAGCTTATCATTTCTGTCACTTATAGCTTGCTCCTCCTTTCTCTTACATTTAAAGTTCATGCTTCATACACATATAATATCAAGTCACGAATTTCCACTGTACATCATCATCTTTGCACTTGTTTTAATTGTCTTCCATGCAAATGTGAATGTATTTATATATTTTTAGCTTCTGTGACTCAGTAATTCTCTCTATCATTCCACATGCTGACACATCACTCTCAGATATCTGAAACACTGGTATGTAAAACCAAAGTAGCGAAATACAATGCCCCCATCTAGGTGAAGGGACAACCCATGACTTCTTCACCAGTAATGTTGCCACTTGTGACTATCGCCACACATACAAATAGCATTGAATAGAGACGTATAATTTAGTTAAAGCTAATCCCTTTCTTCATTATTTATATTTCCATGAGCAAATACGGCCACCAAGCTAATATTTAAATCACATTATGGTACAGTCAACCCTCACTTTACGCGGTCCCACATTCCGCGTTTCCAAGCCCTGCCAGAACCCAGGATGCTCACATTCCGCGGTGGGTGTACCCCTTTACACGGGTGAAGTATAATTTTTTTATTTAGCTCATAAAATTCATACAAATTATCCAGCCAGAATATAATTTACATTGCTGGAATTCTTACAATTTGATGATCATTTTGAATATAAACATCATAGACTTTGCATTAGACATACAAATTTTAGATATAATGTTTACTCTGAGTAAATATGTTATCTTTTGTGCAAAATATATGACATTTATATTCAAAATATTCCTGGTCTTCCAAGGAATCCAGCAATGTCAATTATATTATCCTAACTTTAGTCTGATTTATTATTTATTACTAAAAAGGTAAACAGTCTGGTATTCCCACACGTTCATCTGGTAGGGAGGGTTGGTGGGGGGTGGGAGGGAGGGAGAGACCAGTGACCGACCACCTGGCACCACGGTGTGAAGAATATTTTTTTTTATTAACTAAGATATTTGTTTTAGCTCATAAAATTCATACAAATTACCCGGCCAGAATATAATTTACATTGCTGGAATTCTTACAATTTGATGATCATTTTGAATATAAACATCATAGATTTTGCATTAGACATACAAATTTTAGATATAATGTTTACTCTGAGTAAATATGTTATCTTTTGTGCAAAATATATGACATTTGTATTCAAAATATTCCTGGTCTTACAAGGAATCCAGCAATGTCAATTATATTATCCTAACTTTAGTTTGAGGTATTATTTATTACTATACCTGGTTTTCCCCCCAAAAGTTCTCAGAGAGGGAAGAGCCAGCGAGTGTAGTGTGAGAAGAGGGGGAGGGAGTCGAGTCCATTATTTGAATGGACATTAACTTGGCGACTGTATTTCTCTTAAGTATTAATTGTGTGCAAGTACCATCATAAAATTAAGATGTTATTTTTACTAGAACATAGGTATTGTGTTGGAAAAAGTGGAGTTTGGGGGTCAGCTGGTCTCTATTTCATTTAATCCCATATGTTATGTTATTCACTTTACGCGTGAAGTTTCTCACTTTCCGCGGTACCCTGTGGGTTACATTAACCGCGTAAAGTGAGGGTTGACTGTACTGTATGTGAATTCTCACCTGTTCAATTTGCCAGATACATCTTTGTCATCCATAAAGCACTCTATGTTAATAGGAAGATCAGTGGAATTGGCAGACATCTGTTTCTTTAGCTTCTCAACTTCAGTGCAGAGTCGAAGCCAAGCACGGGGATTTGTAGTTGCATCAATCTGTTTTCAAAAATATACAGGTATAAAAAAACACATGGATGCAATATCAAAGTGCAACTCAATACTGTACACATTTGATGACAGGAAATTATATCAAATGTAAAAATCAACTTAAGATAACAGCCCACCTTATATTTTGATTTGAATTCAATGGCGAAGTGTTGAGCCAAAAGGTGATCAAAGTCACGCCCTCCAAGATTGGAATCTGCAGCTGTGGCCAACATCTTAAGTTTACCTTTATTAAATGCTACTACAGACACCTGAAATTGAAAACATGAGAAGGTCGGTTACCCAATTTCTCCTTATACATCACCTTCCACATTTATTTTCTTGTGAAATAATCTTTAAACTGCTAGTCAACACTGGAGGGGATACTGATGGTACCGGGGTTAAGTTCCAAGTCAAAAGTGACTGGAAGTTTAGGTAACTGCTACTTTTACTGATGGTAAGAGAAAGGTGCATGAAACTGGTGTGAGAAGTGATCTATGGCAGCAAGAATGATTTTTTTTCTATTTAAAAAGTATATATGTACTGTTTAAATAAAAATATCTGAATCACTTATTTTAATCAGATTCAATTTATTTGTACCTGGTGCAGGTACAGATACATTCTAAAAATAGTACACGTCCAGTACTTGCCAAAAGAGCTTAATAGATGTGACCAACTGCCCAAGTGGCTAAAGAACCAATCAGTGGCAAAGAGAGTAAAGTATAACTGTTCACTTCCTAAACCTCAATAACAGGAGCGCATATTCATCTTCTAATGTACAGAGATTTACACATTTACCGTCTTAAATCTACCTTACAAATAATTTTCTTTTTATTATGAAAAAGGAATAAGCAGTTATGGTCAAGATAATATCAGTAAATTATTTAATATTTTATTACTACTTTGCAGGTTTCAGACACAGTAGGTATGGTTCACTGAACTTCATTCTTGTAAACAAACTCACGGGTAGACGAAATACAGATTGATGATAGTAATCAGGGTTGGCTGGTATATATCAACTTGATCTAAATCAGTACGAGAAAATTAAAAAAATATATAAAAAAGCTACTAATTGATAACCTATTATTTAATGTATGTGGAAAGTTGACAACCCTTTCTAATGCCTCCATGCTACAATTAGCTCAAGCCTACATACTGTAATTCATCCTCTCTACCTGCTCATGTTTAGCAGCAAAACATGAGCAGTTAAGGAGGATGAATTATCGAACGTAAGCTTGAACAAGCTGAAATGAAAATTGGGAGGTGGATGTGTAATGTAACATTGAAAGAGAGGAAACCCTGTTCGTAGCTAAGAGGATGGCTGGGAATTCAGGGTTATTGCCAAGGTTTAACAAAGAGGCGAGTCGAGATAGTGGAGACCAACTGGGTTACGAGATGCAGTAGTTTGAACGTGAAGTGGAGTAGTAAAGGGTATTTATTTATTTTTACTTTTTCTCGTTCCTTTTTTTATGCAAGCTATAAGTACTGTATTTTTTAGCACATTTATCATAGGTTGGATCATAATTGAAATCAATGAAGAAGTTTCTACTGCAAATTCATTGTGATAAATACTGTCACATTTAGAAAAGTCAGTCTCACATATGAGTGCAATATACTAACCTGAAGATTTGCATTACCACAATCAACAAAAACCACATTTCTTGGTTTCTCTTCTGATGATGGAAGGTCCTGCTTGTAAATACCATATGCTAGGGCTGTGGCTGTGGTTTCATTCAAAAGACGTAACACATTGAGGCCAGCAGTAAATGCAGCATCTAAGAGTGCCCGACGTTCAGCATCAGTATAAAAACATGGAACCTGTAAAGAACCCATAAATACATTAGACAGATCAGGTAAAAATAAAACAGCATCATTGTAGTAGTTATTTGCAATTGAACTGAATTTAATTCACATAACATCACAAACCAAAGTGAAGTTCAAAATGTTTAATTCAGATTTTCAGTTTAGCTGCTTTTGTAAAATATAACAACTTTCAAGAAAAAATTGCCTTACTGAGCCTTTTCAGAACTTCATATACTGTAGTGTAATGTACATTGATTTCTGACAAATCCATTTTTTTTCTTTTTTCAATTTAGTGGTGACAGGCCTTAGCACAGTTCTGTCAAAGTTAAAAAATCTAAACATCTTGGGATCAAGCACTATGACCTTTTCATAGTTACATATGTAAAAGTGATAGGGAACCGAGATTGTAGTTTGGCCCACCCCCTCCCCCAAGGAAAAAATATGTACAGTACTGTATTAATATTCATAATTATAAAAAATATATGGTATTTTTATGTACAGGCAACCCTCACTATACACACTCCCACTATAGTACAGTATAATTATAATTTTCTCATATATGAAATTATAAACTAGTAAACACTTTCACTATGTACAATGTAGTTTTGCTAATACTGTACTGTTAAAACATTTTTCCAGTCATGCAAATTTCAATATTCGTAATCACTTTACTTTGAACCACCTACAATTGAATATGGTGGTGGTAAAGGAAACAATGCGCTAGTATAGAGTTTATTCCTTATAAGTTTTGACTTTAACTACTGTAGGCTTCTTCAGAGGAACAACTTTTACCAGAAAGAAAAATGCATGCTAGATTAGGTGACTTGGATATGATGCATGCAACTAGTTGACTGATTTGTTTTTGATTTGCGATTGGTCAGTTGGAGTTGTTCCTCTGAAGAAGCCTACAAAAGTTAAAATCAAAACTCATAAGGAATAAATTCTCTGTACCAGAGCTCATTGTTTCCTTTGCCACCACCATATTCAACCTGTCCAAATGAAACATCACAAATAGTATAATTTGCCAACCCAGGGTATTAGGTCAGACTTGTTTTTTGTATCAAATGACTTCTGTTACCAGTAATTCTATCCTGCTCTGTTATTTTAATGAAAACCTCCAGCTATTAAAAAAATTAATTTATTTTTGTATTATCAGATGATGCTTAGGTGCTAACACATGCATCTGGGAACATCCGTTAATATCGGTCAGTAAACTGGGTTATGCATAGTTTAGACGAGGTATGGAAACTACACTCGCATCTTACCCTCCCTTTCTCTTGCAGTGGAAATATAGCTACTCATAGCTAGTGTCCTTCCCTCTGCAAGGGAACCTATGAGACATCTCTGAATTGAGATAAACAGCAAGCGAGTCAAAGTCACACCCTGTAATACCTTAATGAACTTATTTGTTTTACTTTCATATATGTACAGTTTTTATGGGAAGTTCATTTAATTATTTTGGGACAATTATATTTTGCATTAATTTATTGAGCTATTACAGGTGTTTATCATTTGTAAAGTACTGTACATAACTTTTTTTTTTATGAACCCTTTTGCAGTCTCCCGCACTTGCCATTTTATTTTGGCTACCGCCAGACGATTTTATTCAGCTTTGAGTAACCTCCCGCACCCAAAAGGTTAAGATGTCTGAAAATCAGCCCTCTGGAATGCATTCTCCATTCTAACTCCATGTTATTTATAGAAATTTTCACTTTGTGCACATATTGCAGAATATAACCCTTTTATTTACAGAGGTCTGTCTTTTTCAGATCTAAAATGTATTACAGTAAGTAAAGACTAACCATTTATAAAAGAACCTGTAGGATACTACACTTACCCCAATAACTACATCGTTGACCTTAATGCCCAAGGCCTGCTCAGCAGTTAGTTTAAGCTTAGTGAAAAGCATGGCTGTGATCTGGATAGGTGTGAATGTTTGTTCTTCATTTAGATATCGCACCACAATACCAACATTTCTGTCTGGCAGCTCAACTACTCGATACTGGAGAGATGACACTTCAGCCTGCAGTTTAGGATCCCTGGAAAATCAATTATCATCAACAAACTGTAACCATATCCTCCAAACTACATTTATTAACACCAAACCAAAGACTTTTGATTACATTAAAACCTCACTAAGGCAGACTAATTGGGAGGAAGAGGACCCATTCAGTTGGAAACTAGTACAGGTATTCCACTGTGATAAAATCCCACTGAACAAGAATCAGTTCAAAGAGCTTAGTGTTTTAGAGTATGAAAATTAAATGAATGAACTTTTATTCATCCTAACTAACAAAATTACAAGTGAACCAGCCTGCATTATTATCATTCATGGAGTGCAGTTAGTTATGCATTATCATTGGTTGAGCAGCAAGCCAGGAAAGTGCACTCAGAGACTCATTTTCTAAACTCTGAGGTGAAGTCAGCAGCAGTCTGGCCCAGAGCCTGGCTAGCAATCGAGCCAAGACAGGCTTGGTGGCATTTTGTTTTCTGGTTATCAGTCAGTATCACCTGTGTACTTGTACTATCCACAGCAAACTTTTGTCGCTCAGAAAGCACTGTAGATGCTAACCAGGTGTACAGAGTGCAGTAAGTAATGTAAAACCAAAACTGTGCTTAGTCTGTTTATTCAAACAGGATTCAGCAAGATGGCTTTACCTCAAAAATGCTCATAGCCTGCCAGCTGTCCTAACTCTCCACTTCTTCAACCTACCAGTTAATTTTTCAATGTCTCAATTTAAGATTGACACATGTGTATAAAGAACTGCTGTATTTTTTTTTATAAAACACATTATTAATGCTTTTAATTAATTAAAAAAGGAATTATTGTAATATAAAAGCTGGATTTATAACTACTGATGATGATAACAGGAGACAATTAGCATCAATACGGAACCCAACTCTTTAGAGCTAAGCCGTACAGTACAGGGTATATAACCATTTCTGAACTCTTTACAAACATTACTATCTATGTCACACCGGCAACATTTATCTTTTAATTTTTATTCGGAAACATCCTTTAGCTTTTGAAGGAAATTTAAAATTATTATAACAGTGACAGCCATCACCATGCATTTGTGGTGTCCCACAAGCGTGTGATGTCGTTTATCGGCGTGCAGCAAAGATTTGTACTGTACCAGTTGCTATTTTGTGTTTTTGGAGTGTTCAGTATGGCCATCTTAATACAACGAGGAACAATCATAACAATAACAGCTGAGTATAGTAAGTAATAACACTGAATTTGATTTTACCCTCATTTTAGGAAAACTATGGCTACAGGAAAAAATTACACTCAAAAGTGTTTCCCAAATATTTCCTTCCAAAGTATGAGTGCATCTTACATGCCTATGTGTCACATAAGCAGTAAAATACAGTACTGTAATTACAGCTTGGTGAGTATTTGAAGTGGAAATATTAAGAATGTATTTATTCAATTTAACTACCCTCAAACAGCTATAATCCCCATATAACATACCGGGGTAGTGTTATAAACTACTATTGATGCTGGAAATACAAGCTTTCATGTTGCTCACCTCCATTTAGACATCACACCCACAAAGCACTGTCAACTAGGCACTCACTCACCTGTGAGATGCTGATAGCTCAAACTGCTTCTTCACAAAATAAATATATATATTTTTTTTTATTAAGAATACTGTACACTGAAAAAATAATTTTTTTTTTAAATATATGGTTTGTGACAGGTTCTCATCAACACAGAGCAACTTCAAAATATTCCCAGTTCAAAAATTATATACTGAACTGCATATGCCATTTGTAGTGGCGTTCACATGCACGTACCACACCAGTGACCAATGCAGGATATTGTTTCTTGAAACAAAAATTTATTAATACAATACTAACAAATACCCGTATACTTGGGTTCTTGCCACAGAAATAAAGTAATCCCTCGCCAACTGCAGGGGTTACATTCTAGAATTCCCCTGTGGTTATAAATGGTTGGGTCCAATGGAAAATATGGGGCTTGAGGAAGTGACCAGACATACAGTAATGTATATAGTACCATTAACTGGGGTTACTTCGGACGATTTTTTTAAAGCTGCTGTTCAAGATATAAGGCCAAAAGCAGAGGTTAAATATCATATTGGTGTATTTACCAATGGTCTAGCAATATTTAACAACATTTCAAAGTTCACACTTATTCTGAAAGATATATATTTATAGGTGTCCAAAGTCACCCCTGATCTGAGGGAACTTCATACAGCAATGGGGAAAACTTATATACAATACCACACTTACATTTTTAATTCTTTTATAACTTTTATCTATTCCAAATCACAACACTCAATCATTCATTCTTTTCCACATATAACTTCTCCCCGTTATTTCCTACACTATTCCTTCATAGACGTGCATCACTAACCCCTAACTGTATACAGTACTGTAAAAAGTCTACCATGTATGAAATATTTTAGATACATGTACACTTGTACAGCATATTCTTCTTCCCTACTTCATTCACTCCATTTGCATTATACAATTACTGTCACACTATCCTCTCTAGGCAATATATACTGTATAGTAGATATGAAGATCAGCCTATCTATTGGCTAAATATGAGAATGCGGTTGTACAAATGAAGCCTACCGTAAGTAAATCATAAACCAGAAAGGGAACTACAGGGGTGGGGGGAAGGTTATCTCTCATGAACACCCATATTTTTTTTTTATGGTAGTGATTCCATGTGTACAGTATATCAAATTTACAAACTTCAGTGTATTGTACTACCAAAAATCATTGATAAGAAAATTATCCAAGTCTTCCAAAAATAAACCTTACCTATAATGTCGTCCCAAAAGTCTTTTGAAGCAATGGACAGTATTTTTCATGTTTGTCGTCATTTGGTTCTTGGCAGCCACACCAAGGACACGGTTTTTCTCTCCAAAAGCAATAGTTGACCTGAAAGAAGATTTTTATTGTAAGAAATTCTACAGTGCTTGTATTGGCTATTCAACCTACATGAAAAAATGCCTGAAGTCAAAGAAACCCTTAATGCTTCCACACTGGAATGGACTCAGTACTGTACGGACATATCAAACAATCTCATTTGCACCAATGTCTATTATTACCCAATCGACATATCATTAACCATCTTGCTGCTGGAAAACAAAACATTTGTCAGCCACTTCACTACACACGGGTGTGAGCTCTGAGCAGCTGAGATCCCACACTCCATTGCCACCCCCCCCCCATTCAGTGTACTAACTCTAGCAAAAAGAAATGTTTATACTGTATATAATTATATTATTTATCTTGCTGGTTAGTTGGCACATATGATGGTTCCCTCCTTTGTAATGGTGTGGAACCAAACCAGGTAAGATAACTCTTAACCAGGTCACAATACTTACTGCCAGTGAGCAAATCTTAAAAAAAAAGTCACCACCTATTATTTTTTGCAGTACTAAATAAATAAATAAAAAAAATCTGACAAGCACCTGCATGAGTCAGCAACCTAATCACCCCCTCAGCTTTCATGTTGACATCATCTATACAACTGCCCAACCCTCACCTTGTTTGGACAGTCAATCCTCGACTTACGACGGGGTTAAGGACCAACGACCAGGTCGTAAGGCGAAAATGCGAAAACAACACATAGCAAATCTAAAATGGGTGTCTCTTTTCTTCTCGGCACCACAAGAACTCACTTTTACGCTTGACAGCCATTTTAAAGGAAATTACTAACGAAAATTTTTTCAGTACCCAGCGCGATCACTAACGTCGAGACTCGAAAATAAGTAATTTGAAAAGTATTTTATACGAATGTGGTGGTCGTAAGTCGAGTAGGACATAAGTCAAGGAGTACCTGTGTGTGTATATATCAGGGTTGTTATGATTTAAATCAAATGATTTAAATCACATGATTGAAATCGATTTAAATCAGAGTAAAAAAATTAAGAATTAAATCAAAATGATTTTTTGCTAATAATGTTTTCTCTTTTTATTCTACATGATTGAAAATTATATGCAAAGCAGCAGGTTAATAACATTATTTGGATTTACATAATTATGTACTGTACTATAGTCTGTTCTCTCCAGTTTTGCAAAACTTTGATCATATCATAAGGTTTCATTATTAATGTATATATTTACATAAAATATATTGTTAACTAAGATAATAAATACTATTGAAATTCAGAAGAACTGTAGTATTCTCTTCTCCCAGCATTATATATCAGTCAATAAGGAGCAAGGGGCTGTAAATTTTTGCAAAGCTAGAGTGAACAGGCTGTAGGCACTAGGCTATACATATTCAGATATTCTATGGATGGATGGAGTAATGTCCATAATGAGCCTATAGTATGTATAACTTTAACAGCGGACAACCGTATTTATCTTGTTGACTCTATAGACACAGAATCAAGACACACAGCTGAATATCTGTTGAAATTAGCTGAATGTGCTACAAAAAAGTGTGAAGACAAATTTGGATGCACAGTAAGAAGCTGTGTAACAGATAATGCTGCTAATATGGCAAAAATGAGAAGTGAATTCGGACAAGATAAATCCATTATAACATATGGTTGCCCTGCACACCTGTTAAATTTGCTTTCACAAGACCTGCAGATCAAGAACATTAAGGAGCACATTACTGAAATCATTAAGTACTTCAGAAATCATCACATCTCAGGATCTTTGTATAGAAGAGGAGGAACAATGCTAGTGATGCCATCAGACACACGATGGAACACAGTGACAGATTCTATTGAATCTTATTTAAAGAACTGGGAGACCCTTGTCAAAGTGTGCAAAGAAAATTGAAAGGAAGTTAATGATAAGGCATTAAAAAGAAAGGCAGAAGACTATTTAGAGAGACTTAAGCCTATTACTGTGGCATTGGACTGTGTCCAGAGAGAACATACCCTATTAAGTGATGCTGTAGAAATCTGGGTCAAACTGAATATATATATATATATATATATATATATATATATATATATATATATATATATATATATATATATATATATATATATATATATATATATATATATATATATATATATATATATATATATATATATATATATATATATATATATATATATATATATATATATATTTATATATATATCAGTTACCACAGAAGAAATTCGCAATGAAATTCCAGAGGTGTAACTGATATTTAAGGGAAAGGAAGAAGAGAAATAAAAGAATATCACTATCAGAAAAGAGGATGTTCTTAAGAAGATAAATAAACTAAAGAAGACAAAATCCCCAGGGCCAGATGAAATTTTCCCTCGAGTCTTGAAAGAGTGTAGGGAACAGATTAGCGGAACCCTCGTAAATTTATTTACAAAATCATTAGACACCGGAGTTGTGCCAGACTTGTGGAAACAGGCAAATGTAGTACCCATATTCAAAAAGGGAGACAGAGCATCAGCATCAAATTACCGGCCGATCAGTTTGACGTCAGTAGTGGGGAAATTTCTTGAATCAATTATAGCAGATAACATCCGATCGCATTTAGAGAAAAGCAAATTAATCTATGACTCTCAACATGGGTTTACAAAGGGAAAATCTTGTCTAACAAATCTGCTGACGTTTTTTAGGAAAGTCTTCGAGGTAGTAGATAATGACGAAAATTACGATGTTATTTACTTAGACTTTAGCAAAGCAATTGACAGAGTACCGCATCAGAGGCTTCCGAGATAAATTAAGGCTCATGGTATCGAGGGGAAAGTTTTAAATTGGATAAAATCATGGCTCACCGATAGAATGCAGAGGGTCAGCGTAGATGGTGTTAAATCTGGGTGGGGTCGTGTAACCAGTAGCGTTCCCCAGGGGTCAATACTAGGCCCACTCTTGTTCATAATCTACATAAACGATCTAGATACTGGGATCAGCAGTGAGATAAGCAAGTTTGCAGATGACACCAAAATAGGGCGGCAGATTAATTTCAGAGCAGGATGCAAATGCATTACAGGAGGATCTAGATAAAGTGCAGGGGTGGTCTGAAAAATGGCAAATGAAATTCAACACCAGCAAGTGCAGCGTACTTAATATTGTAAGAACAAATACTGTCAATGTATACAGCCTTAACAACATCAACCTACAGAAGTCGACTTGTGAAAGAGACCTAGGGGTACTTGTAAGCCCGGACCTACGGCCTAGAAAACAGTGCGTTAATGTTCGAAATAAGGCAAACAGAGTAGTGGGTTTTATATCTAGAAGTGTAAGTAATAAGAGTGCAGAGGTCTTATTGCAACTATATCTTGCGCTAGTCAGACCGCGGTTCAGTTCTGGTGCCCTTATTATAGAATGGATATCAATTCACTAGAGTCAGTGCAGCGAAGAATGACGAAAATGATTCCGGGACTTAGAAACCTTCCATATCAGGATAGGTTAAAGAAACTAAACTTGCATTCCCTAGAAAGACGAAGAGTGCGGGGAGATATGATAGAAGTATTTAAGTGGGTGAAAGGAATCAATAAAGGCGATATAGATAAAGTTCTTATAATATCCGAGCAGGACAGGACTCGTAGCAACGGATTTCAGTTGGATAAGTTTAGGTTCACAAATAGGGTGGTAGACGAGTGGAACAAGCTTAGCAACTTTGTAGTAAGTGCTGGAACGCTGGAAAGTTTTAAAAGGAGGCTAGATAGATTCATGGATGATAGAGAGTGGTAGTAACTCTCGAAAGGAGCTGCCATGCACAGGCCAACTGGCCTATTGCACTCCTTATTTTCTTATGTTTGAGGTCACGGGCGAGGAGAGATCAGTTGAGTTCATTAGAGATTATCAATACTGTATGTAGGGGTCATTGGGGCTGTCGGGGTTTGACCACTGTAACCTGACAGAGGACATAACCATTCGTTGTGTCAACAAATTGTCCTGCTTGTACAAGCTGGACAATTTTGTAATTAAGAAGATTTGTAACCAGGTGAGAAGGTCGGGTCACCTGACCATCTGACCTGACCACCAACCGTTGTGTGCTATTTAAAGATTAGAAGGGTCATTACCTAATACCTGACCATTGTGGACCTGGTCTCACCCTCCTCTGTATATATACACCTTGGTTTGTATTTCTCTTTAATCTGTACTCACCCCTGAAGATGTGAATTACACGAAAGCGCTTGGGAACTTCGTGTTTTCTTCTTTCCTTGTGGTTATCAGCATATACCTAGATCACGCGCACCTACAGTGATTTACTTGCATATATATATATATATATATATATATATATATATATATATATATATATATATATATATATATATATATATATATATATATATATATATATATATATATATATATATATATATATATATATATATATATATATATATATATATATATATATATATATATATTATTTTACACACACACACACAGTTAGCCGGAATCCCTCCTAACCTGGAAAATGTCAGGTTTGGGAAAAATTTCCGAGGAGCATTTTCTGGAGAATTTGAGAAAATTTTTCCCATACCCAGAAAATTCTGTTTGAAGAAGAGTGCTCTCATTGGTGGCCTGATACCAAAGTAAGGGTACCTAGGTAATACTGGAGAGGGCTAACATCAGAAGGAGTTGATCGAATTTGTCCAGATGTTTTATCATTGTACAGTACTGTACTTAGTATTTTAAAAGAGGCAACAACATTTTAATTTGATTTGCTTTTTACTTTTTTCTACAATCATAAATCACCTGTTGTAGGCAGGGCATGAAGGTTGAGGGAAAGTGCAGAGGTAAATCACAGTGAAAACTGATCATATGGCACTAAAATGGCGTCTCTACGTCCTTTGCACCTTTACAAATTATTTACCATAAATACTCCCCCAAAAAACCTGCAGTCACATCATGTCTGTTTGTTTACAACCGACCCGCTCAGTCCAAGTGTACACTTACATCCACAAAAAAATTTAAATAACACCATGACGATCCAACAAAGTTGCTTTCATTAATACCAGCTATCAAAATAAGTACTTTCTGTTTAATATGGCATGGGGTCGGCTAGGAAGTTTGGTAGGTTTTTTGGTTGGTTAGATCAGGTTCTATTAGGTTCTAGTACGTCACCACTTTTAAAATACTTACTATAATAAGTACATCTATGCAAAAAATTAAGGAAATTGAACAACGCCTTCTGGTGTTAGCTACCTCCACCAAGATTACCAAAGTAAGTTCTTACTGCTTAATATGCCGAGGCGAGGGGGGGGGATTTTTTGCAATTCCATAAGTAATTTCTTCTGCTAACCATCTCCTCCACCATTGCCTTTTTCCCCTCTCTCCCCCTAAATGCAAATCAATATACCTTTAAATTCTGAGGTTGACATTTTCCAAATATTGACCTGTTATTTTAATAATAAGAGTGCAAAGCTGTTCTGAATTTTCCTATATTAAAGATCACTAACCTTTCATACCATAACATTACAAGTTAGATAAATATATGGTAATTGTTCTGTAGCAGTGGTTTTGTCCAATCACAGACCCAAGGTAGATTACAGAATTTGATCACCTGCAAACTTGACCTAATTCAACCCAACTAAATCTATGTTTGCAAGTGTCATAATTCAGTAATCTACCGGTAGATCATTTGTATCATCAGCCCCAACCAATTCAGTATGAAATCGGACAAACAGCTATAGTAAAGGTCCATAAGCAGACCAATAAACTTTAGAGAAAAAAATAAAATCCCCAAAAATTCAAGTTTTAGTACAGCATTTTTTTTAGGTTTTCTATCAAGTAACTTATAATCACATGTAGAGTTCCTTGCTGAAAACCACTAAATGAAAACCATCTCCCCATTGCAATATCAGTCGAGACGTCATAACAAACTTTGCAACTATGTTTAGTAGCAAAACGTCACGACGTAAAGCGCTGCAACAGAACTTTGCTCAATTGTCTCACGTTCGTCGTAATTTCACACATTGTTTTATGAAAATGCATTTTCACCACCCTTTTGTTTTATTTAGTTTGTTAATCTTGTAAAATTCGGCGTAAGTTTAGCTCATACTGGAAACTTCTGGAGTCGCTGCTGCCACATGGCTGACAACTTCACCCAGCGAAGGGTAAAGTGGTTGCACAAATCCAAAAAACTAATAAGGCCTCCTTATTGATCCTACGCCTTAGTTGTAAATGAATAAACAACAAAATATATAATCTATAGACACTGTGACATGCTAACATCTTCAATCACAAATTAATACAAGGTTATACTTACGGTGTAGATCGTAAGCTATAATCGTTGGCAATAGTTTCAATACCGCCCTGTCTAGCGACAGCGATATAACACCCATCGTTTCCGAAATCAATGCCAATGACGGACATTTTTGCCACTGTTCCCTTACGATGCTAAATAGATATAAGTACACACACTTCAAAGAGGAATGTTGAAGTGGGGGTCACTAGCAGAGTGCTACTCGCTTAATACTCTCACAAGCACTGCCCATGACACACTGACGAAAATTCTAGAGCACGAGGCCGGTTAGGCTCATACGCTAGCTGTGGTAACTCGGAAGGGAACAAGTAACTAAATATCCTCTTTTCAAGAAAACTGAATATTTAACCCTAAAAAACGGCATCAAATTTTGAAATTTGTGCCTACCTTAGTTTTTAATACAGGATTGAAAGTTTTTCAATGAATTATACAAACTAAATATTCTCGTGTAGAATAGACCTTAAATGTCCAACGTAAACAAATACTCGTCTTATTACTAATAGCATCAGATCTGAAAATTACTTAAACATGGTTGATAATGGCGGTAAACAATTTATTTCAAATTCTTTTCAATGTTAAAAAAAACGTAAAACACTAGCTGAAATCAATTAAATAGGGGCGGGGCGTTGGCAGTGCAGAGGTAAAGCGCGTATCCCTCATCAGTATCTCAAACTATCATATGGGTTCGAACTGACCCCGAGATACGGTAATAATAATATTAATTCAATAATATTGTCGTGCAGATTTACATTTGGCTAAACAAGTTCTAAACTATGCAGTTATACAATTCAGCATGATTAATATAGACATGGTGAACATTTAGGCCGTGGGAGTTAACAGTTAGTCCAAGAGCCAGCTGGACACTTTTATTTGTATTTTTCCGCTAAAGGGTTGGAAGGTTGCTTGTAGGACAAAAAATAAATAAAACTTCAAAATAAAACAACTATTTTTTTTTGCAAAAATCCGCTTGGGGGATTTCTCGAGAAATTACCGTAAGTTAAGGTATTCGCATGATCTGAATTTTGCTTTTCGGTCAAAGTGCAGCGTGTGATTGTTACAACCGTCTGTTTGAGCCACTAAATGCCACTAATTTTCATTTATGCAAACAATAGTGGTATCAAAGGATTTAGTGTTCTATCGAGGTTTACTTGGTGTGTTTTATATGCTGAAAGCTACACTACTCATAAGTTTCTACCTTTATTTGCAGTTTCCCGGTTTCAGCTGCAGATTTCAATTACTTTCTGATTTGTGTGGAGTAGCTTTGCCGGTGGCTAATTACTAAACTAATAATATTTTATGTTCCTTTAAAAATATATTATCTACGACAAAATGAGTCACCATGCTTATCGCAAAATATCACAAGCACCATCTCTCATGTAGGCCTATTATTCACATCAGCCAGAAATATGCTGTAAGTGAGATACCAAAACCATTTGATGAGAAGACATGGAACAAAATCAAGACTGGTGATAAGTATTGAAGGAGACATTTCAAGACATCCAAATATTTTGTGAGGACTTTCCAGTGCGTCGAACAGACAATGCCCCTGATCCAATATTTGACGTATACCAGGATGTGTGTTCTTTGCTTTCACAAAATTTAAGTGGAATCGAACCATCCATCTCGCATATAGTTCGGCCTGTTTCCAGCAAAAAAATACTGGTATCATAAGCTGGAGAACATAAATGAATCGGTCAACATCATTCGTTGCACATGCTCGATTGAAAAGCATGAAAATTCGCACCAATTTCACATAGTCAATTACAGTACCTAGCAATACTGTCATGAATTCCCTCCAGTGTGTGCTCTGTGTACTCAGCATAGCATGTCATCTTATTTTTACTTTTACTTTTATCCTCTTCGCTACTGATCGGCTCGTTAGCCGCTTGGGCGGTCGGTCACGTCTCTGATACTACTGTTGGCACATACTCGGCATGCACTTGCTCCTGAATGTATCGAAACGTTTACCAGTGTTGGTCAAGTCTGGCCTTGAATGAGCTCACACTCGGTGCCGTCACAATGCTCTCCGGCAGATTGTTCTAAGAGTCACATTTCTCACTCTGAAAAGTTTTGCCCTTACAGTTTTCTGGACTTGTGGCTTCTTCACCCATTGTGGGGCGAACGTCCACCAGCTCCACGTATGTACATTCGACCGAGTATTGCCCTCTAAGATGTTTATACACTTCGATTAGGTCGCCCCTCGCCCGTCATGAGATGTAAATAGTCATCTGTTTTTTCAGGGGCCTGCAGAACTTCTGAAGACTGCATATTCCTTAGGCTGGTAGTACTGACCCAATGGCTGTCGTCTGTAGGTTATACTATCAAGTCTCAGGGTATGACAATGGTGCAGTTTCATAACGGTATCAGCAATTCAGAGCACAATATGCAGACTTCCTACTTTGATGTATAATGTACTGCCTGAATGTAGTACTTTGTGTAAAAAAAATACAAGTATATTCTAATTAATTATACATAACTGTAATTACATTTTTCGTTTTACTTTTCACGACACATTTACAATACTATATCTGAGGGTCATCCTACGACTGAATTGTGTAGGTTGCTAACATGTATCAGTTTTATTAAATAAACAGGAGCAAAAACAATAGTTTCTTTTCTCTGAGAGTAGTTAATGACCTCTCCCTGTTTCGCATTTCATTAACCACTATAAACTGGGTCTGTATCATCACTATAATTATATGTACTATCACTATAGACGTTTATCAGTACTATAATCACGCGTATCGTCATAACAGACTTAGTATATCATCACAATAGTCACGTGTATCAATGTCACTAATATAGTCATTATTCTCAGTAGAGTTCTGTCAGACAATCAGGCTCTCGATGTGTTATCTGTATGAAGAAAAATCTCGTTCTCACCTTATCAGCAGCCTTTTTGCAGTAAATCTTTAAGTCAACTAGTCCTCACACTTTACCCATCTTTCACTACCACCATTCACTTACAACGTCATTCAGTCATGGAGTCAAACAAACACTCTTTCATTTTGCCAAGTAGTCCGTCATCCAGTCAATTATCATGATGCACAATTCGCTTGACAGCCACTCAAAATCTTAGAGAGATGGTCCCATCACCCACGGATGAGCGATCTTCATTAATCACTCATCCAGTTCATTAGACTCATATAACATGTGTATCAAATGAAAGCTTTACAACATAGAGTAAACTTTCCCTTGGATAATCTTTGATGATGAAAATTTCGTACGCACCAGAAATAAAATGGTTTAACCCTTGGAACAGCTGAACCTATTTCCTTGGTGTGGGTGTGCTGCATTGATGTTTGTAAGTAGAATGTTAGTTTTTATACTTAATAAGATGTGGCATCTCTAAATATATCAAAGCCTTGGACCAAACTACTGAAAAAAAAAGCCTGGAGTCGCACAGTCATCTTACTCCTACACACGACTTGAGCGATGGGGTTCCCCTCCCACCAGTGAGAGGAAAGTGAAGTTGGGGTGGGGGAGTTGAACGTACCCCCCCCCCCCCAGTATCACACATATCTGAAGCTTCCGCACCTACACTAGCAAACTCTGCCGTGTTTAAAATAGAATCCCGACTTTACGTACGGTGTACTCTGTGCCTACACCAGCACTCAGGCACTTGGCAAGTGGCTGAGGATTTCACGTTAAATACCGACACATGGCTAAAGTATTATGACTTTCATTATCCTTTTTTCAGATTTCTTTAAAATTAATTATCCTTATTTTGTCATTCTATATCGTTTAGAGTAATATTTTGTTATGTTTTGTACACTAATCTTAAATAATTTGCAGATGAATTAAACATGGAACACATATACTGTATATATGTGTGTGTCTATGAGTCAGTGTAGTGTGGGTGAGGTGACCTACAGGTAAACCAAACACGTCTGGACCACACCTGCCTATATAAGGGCGAGGAACGGTGGGACAGGTTGTTGACCCAGCCACCAACTGGAGGTACACACGCCTCCCCCACCAACTGTACGCCACCAAAACAAAACAAATCACTATAACACAATGTCATTGCCTTGCTGTAAGTGGTGATAGTTCTATAGTTATGAAATATGGATGCTGTACCTTGTGAGTCTACTCTCATGCCAGGTGGATCTGTCATTGACAAGAGCTGTGTCGCAGGCGAGCTGTCATACAGTGAGATGTCACACACTAACCTGTTAACCCAACTAAACCGAATCAAATTCCTGTAATCTAACCTAAGCGAAACCTGTTATAAATATAGACGTTCGTGTACAGGTTTTCCACAAAAAGATATGTTTTTTCCTTCCCCAATATTTGTGTACTTTTATACGTAATTCAGCTTCGTAGGATATACATTAGTGTGTCTAATTACGTACAATCTGAGTGAAGTTGCAATGTGCTCATATAATTAGGTACACAGTGCATATACACACGCACATACGTACACGTACACTTACATTCTCCCCTAGCTATATGCACGCTCTCATAGTCACAAAATCACTTAGACACGTACCCAATAAGTATGCACATACATACATACATACATACATACATACAGTTCATAAAATCACATATGCACAAACAATTAAGCCACAGTTTAGATCATGCATAGACGCAAGCATGTACACGTACAGAAATATAAGCACTTTTAAAAATATACTGTACATACAATAACAGATATGATGAAACAACCTGCAAACATAAAAAATACACACAAGTTGCATAGATATTTCCAAATTATACACGCATAAACGCACATACGCAAAATAACAAATATACATCACGAAACTTAAACAAATCACACATCCACATATCAGACATGCGTCCTCGTACATACATCAATGTCTACACCTGTAAATACGCGCACACACACACACACACACTTATCCACTGTAAACACACCCACCACGTACACAAACACATCAAGGGCACATACATGTGATCTACATATGATGATATGGCTTCAGAGCCGTCACAACGCAATCATAATTTTCGGCCAACATATACTGTACACCTGCTCACTGTGTGTAGGTGTATTAATGTGGGCGAGGTTGCGTGATCAGTTGTAGAGCATCAGCACACCTACACCCAGGAGATTGTAGTGTTACATCGCTGTGTCATGTAAATTATCCTTGCCTCATGAAGAAACACACACACACACAATATATATATATATATATATATATATATATATATATATATATATATATATATATTTATGTTTGTTTGGGTAAGGTGACACTCGTAGACGGCACATCGGTTGAGCCACTGAGAGGC